CATTGGGTAGCTGCTGTGCCCTGGATGTCCCTGGCTCCCCGATCTATCTCTGGGGTTTAGGGAGTGAGATGGAGTTCTTACCAGCTGCTCTGAGTACAGTGGCTCCTGGATGACTCAGGATTCAGTTTCTCCACAGGACAGGAGCAGACTGACTCTGTGTCTGCTCCAGCTCGGAGGAGCAGGCAGGGGCAGAAGGGAAGTCCAGTTCCTAATTTAAATATTCTTTTTCTATATGACCCACAAATGAAGAACCCTGAACACCACTTCTGCATTTCTCCTCTCCACTGTGAGCCTCTCCTGATGGGCTCCTGAAATCGCTTCCCTCTGAAGCATTTTGTTTAGTGGTTACTCAGGCCAGCACTCAGGCTTCTGTGGCATGAAAGAAACCAGAATGGGCGAGTAGAGGGGCTGAGAGTGAGTGCTGGGGCCACTCACATCCCTACCCAGGGTGACAGGACTCTGCCACTAGAGTGGTCACTGAAACAAATACAGACAGACAGAAGGGGAGCCAAAACAAGGGAAGAAGGAGAATGTGAGGTGGCCAGAAATGTTCTGCTCTCCACCATTCCCTCTTTCCACTGCTCTAAGCCACTGGCCCCTTTCCACCTTTAACCTGTCACTAAGCTCCATTCCCCAGCTGCCGTCTCTGATCTTGAGTAAGTCAGAAATATTTCCTAATATACTTTCCTCACTTTTTTCAGCTTTAAATACTCTAGTGCTAGGAGGCATTGCCCTTTATTCTTTAGCATATATATTTGTAGAGCCTTATCATGCTCTTTTCAATATCTATGAATATTCTATATTTTAAATAATGTCAAATTTAGTCACTGTACACAGAAATTGTTTTAAGAGATTTTAAAATGCTTGATGAGAACCAACATTTTTCAGTCCCTTCGAACTCACTGCATACGCGCCCATACTTCACTATATTGTCTATTTCTTCACCATTTTTGAAAACAAGGTAAGACTAGAACTGAAGATTAGAGTATAGACTAGTGTGGAGGAGTAAGAGGCAAAAGAACTGGTCCAGCACATAGAGAAAAATCTATTTTGCAAATAAGTAGTTGATAAATGCAGTGATACTTTTTCCCCCCAAATCATAAATTAAACAAGTTTTCCTAATAAGAATTTCAGTAGCTACATTCTAGGAAATTCCCAAGCCTCCAAAAGGCAGACAGCATGGCAATTCACTGTACTGGTGTTCAGTATTACCAAGTAGTTAGTAAGACGTGTTCTGTGTTAGCATATTCTGGAACTCTTTTCTCCAGGCATCCAGTTTCAATGTGGGTTAATTCTGAATTCCCTGAGTGGTTATCAAGATACACTGATGAGGGCTTCTGCCTCCCAAGTTTCTCCCTTCCCTGTTTTTCAGGAATCTTTCTAACTGTGCCTTGCTGTTCGTGTGTGTTTTCTTACTCCCAATAAAAACCTTTCTTTGCTAGGAAAAAAAATTACAATGATGATGGAACAGATCTGAAAAGCACTGGTTTATTTTATCAGTAAGACCACAATACTTAAGTGACAAATGAAAAAATATTTTTTCTGAAACATGATTTCTCTGTGTAGCTCTAGCTGTCCTGAGACTCTATAGACCAGACTGGCTTCAAATTCAGAGATCTACCTGCTTCTACCTTTCAAATGCTGGGATTAAAGGCATGTGCCTCCACATCCAGCAGAGAAAATATTTTTTTTGTTTTGTTTTGTTTTGTTTTTCGAGACAGAGTTTCCCTGTGTAGTCCTGGCTGTCCTGGAACTCACTCTGTAGATCAGGCTGGCCTTGAACTCAGAAATCCGCCTGCCCCTGCCTCCCAAGTGCTGGGATTAAAGGCGTGCGCCACCACCGCCCAGCTGAGAAAATATTTTAAGGCATTATTTTTTTCTGTTTTTGTCTTAGCCAGGGTTTCTATTCCTGCACAAACATCATGACCAAGAAGCAAGTTGGGAAGGAAAAGGCTTATTTAGCTTACACTTTCACATTGCTGTTCATCACCAAAGGAAGTCAGACTGGAACTCACACAGGGCAGGAAATGGGAGCTGATGCAGAGGCCATGGAGGGATGTTACTTACTGGCTTGTTTTCCCTGGCTTGCTCAGCTTGGTTTCTTATAGAACTCAGGACTACCAGCCCAGGGATGGCACCACCCACAATGGGCTGGGCCCTGCCCCGCTTGATCATTAACTGAGAAAATACCTTACAGCTGGATCTCAGGGAGGCATTTCCTCAACTGAAGCTCCTTTCTCTATGGTAACTCCACCTTGTGTCAAGTTGACACACAAAACCAGCCAGTGCAGTTTTTAAATAGTTAAGCTTTTCAAATAAAAACTGTCCTTGAAGAAAATTTTAGTTTTCCTGTTCTTTACAAAGTGACAAAATTACTTTGTTTTGGCCATAGACTTTTAGATAGCCTTTCAAATTAAATGTCAAGGTAGTTGGGAATGTTATTCTTAGAGGAAAAAGATAGGTAAAAAACAATATACAAGGATCTGGCTAGAGTTCTAAGCGACCATGATACTCATGAAGTGTAGGGATTAGACAGGTTCTCTATAGAAAACCAGATTCAAGCAAATCACTTGTTTATTATGTCACATAAAATATTTCGGTATGAAATTATGATTCTGTCTGGTTAACTCACCTCAGAGTTAATATTCATGTTGACGTTCTCCTGAAAGCTACCCACAGATTCAAGAGTTACATCCTTCCAATCTTGGGGTTGACCTAACTCACTGTGGGAACTTGACTCTTCCATGACTGAGGGTTCTTCATTATAAGGAAGTAAAGAAAACGTTACCGACATGCATTTCAAACTTGAACTGGCTATTCAAAAAGAAAGCTTCTGACTAGTCACTTGGAACCTAAGAATCTCAGTAAGGAGCGCACAACTTTCTTACACTCCCAAGTCTTACATAATTTCTACCTTCCCTTCTCCTCTCTGCTCCTTATCATCCCCACTCCCTGGCATCTTCTGCCCATCCATCCCCATGCACTCTCACATATCCACCCACTCCACTCACAAGACGACAGGAATAGTTCAAGCTCATCCTGGTGTACTTATCCTGTACATCTAGTATCTTCAGAAATGGTCACGGGGAAGAGGAGACTTATTCATCACCTAAGTTTTATTACCTTATAACTGTTGCAACAATGAGTGGTTATTAACACCCTGTGAACTTTATTTTAGACAGACAGTGATATCTGTCTCAGAGTAGTCATATTATTTAAACACTGGCCTTATCACTATATATTTCAAGGTATTTTAAAATGAAACATTCTGCCAGACACAGAGACTTTCATTTTAAAGAATTTATGAATACTGAATTTGGAGTAGGAGCTAAGAGAGAGAACACGAAATATATATATATATATACGTATATATATGCATGTATACATATACATATACATATACATATATATATATATTCTTCTGTATATGTGTGGTGAGGATACTGGGATACTGGG